ATTACGTAATGCTTCCTGTCAGCAAATGACCCTCTCAGCAACGGAAGGAAATAGGATGAATAGAGGAAATTCAGCTTTCCATCAGTAGGGGTACTGATGAGGGAGTGGGGAAGAGCAGCATACAAAACGGGAATGATTTTGTCGGTAGGGGTGTAGAGTAGGTGGGAGAAATGCCTACAGGGGTACTGATGAGGAGGATGCGGAAGAGCAGTGGATGAAATGGCACGATTTTGACCACAGGATGAAAGCGAAAGGACGAAAAGAAACTTCCATCACCTTCCTAACGGATGCAAAATTGGTTTATCCCAGTGGAGCTTCCTGGTCATTTTTTCTGCGTTGAAATGGTAAAATGATCGATAGATTAGGGTGCCTCTCGGTGAATGGCAGATTTAGAATGTCCCTATTGTTGAAGGGGGAGAAATAAACTCTTGGACCGACTAGAAAAACAATAAAATGCATATTAAGTTTAGGATCGGAGTAAAAATGTGGTTATGAAAAACCTTTGTCAGTCTGTTATAGCCTGTTATCTAACCTGTCTGTTATCTGTTAAAATAGTTATTAAACAAGTTGCTTGAGGCTGTATTTGTTATGATTTTTTCCTAAAAACACAATCACAACAAGCATTGTTATTTGCAATTTTGATCTTGGAACAAAATCATAAGCATCGGGAGACTGAAATTGACCAATTACATGTGATGGTACTGTAATACTGTGTAAAGTATTACATTACATAGACCGATCTTATGGATTGATCTCTGAAGTATGCAGCAATCAATTGTTAGCTGCATAATCTTTATAATTTAAAAAATTGGACATATTGTTCTATTAACCTAGCTAGCTGGCCACTACACAGATTCAATGTTCTTTTCAATGTTCAAAGAAGTGGGGTTAATATGCTTCATACTTGTCTGTGTGAAGCAGAATTTCCATGTGATGTAATTTCCTGAACTCTGTTTGGAACCCTTGTTACCTAAGTGTGTATCTGCATTTGGGTACAAAAGCTTCAAAGTAGGAACATTTGTCCAAATAGGCTTCCAAGTAGGAAATGTTTATTTATATTTAGATAGTAAGAAAGAAAGCTAAAACTATGAACCAATTAAAATGCCATACAACCAGAATGAATAATGCACCCATGAATGCAGTATTGGCATACCAGTATACTTGTATGAGAACTGTTAACACCTGCATGGCATATACGAAATTGTGGATTGTTATTATAGCCTTTTCATTAATTATACCCTTTTCATGATTGAGTATAAAAAATATATCAAAAATTAAAAGTTTCAGATTTAATAAAAGGGAAATTTGATAATTTTTGAGGCATTAGATTGTAATCTGAGAAACCTGATTAAATTTTTATATCTGTCTTTGTTATAATAACAAATACTGTGTTGGTGGTGGATTTTAAAGAAAAATATTTTGTTTTAGTAGTAAAGATAATTTCAGTTACCAGTTTACCTAGTTTGTGTTTAATATTTTCCTCCAAATAATAAATCATTCCCAAATGTAACATTAGTTTCGCGATACATATTCACTTTATTTCAGCAAATTTATCACTATTTATCGTTTATTGTTTCCTTCGCAAATAGCTAAGTGAGTCTAACTAAAAATTATTGAAATGAAATCTGGCCAAGCTGTAAATAATATCTCAAACTTCTAAGTTAAGTAGTAATATTATTACTTACATTTTAACTATCAAAAACACGTTCGTAAGGATTCTTTAACGGAGAATTTTATGAAAATAATATTGTTACGAATTTGGTATTTAAAAAGCTAATATTAGTTCAATTATAAATTAAATGGTTTTATTTCTCGCGCAGTGCAGCGCGTGACGAATATTAAAAGAAAGCTAAGCCGGAAAATTGAAAATACAAGAGCGCGTGCATTAAATAAATAAATATCTCTTTTTGATTTCGAGAAAGTACTAGAAAATTCTAGCGCGTGATTTTAAAAATCTTATAAAAGGAGGAAAACATCTCAGTTCGTAGTACTATCTAACCTTATTTAACCAAGTACTGTGTTACTGCCAAAATTAGCTATTTGCCTGGAAGCAGGCTAGAGACTCTAAATTAATTACTATATGTTAAGGACTGTGTATTCTGTGATCTCACCACGCCACTGCTGTGGTTCTACTCCTATTACCTGCTGGGACTGCGCACCCTATCTCAGTAACCTTACGCTACTATCCTGACCGAAATGCATCATGCAAGGACTTGAATGCTGGATGATTTTGTTTGTCCAAGTACTAATTTCCCAATTTTCGTATATTCAGCTTGACTTCGCCATGGAATGATTGCACCTTGTTCTAATGTCACGCCCCCGGGCGAGGTGCAGTAGCACCTTAATGTACTCTAAAAACCGTGAATGGCCTTTATAGGCTGCACAGATTGTACAGGTCAAAACTCAAAGTAGTTGTATACCTGAGGTGAATCAGAAAAAAATAAATAATAAAATAAAATAAGTTCGTAGTAGTTACTTAGTTTGTTGTTGTTTAGAAAACTGCTCTTGTTGATTACAGCGAATTCGCGGATTAGCTTACTTTAGCTGTTCTGAATTACGTTCTATTGGACATTTGAGTAGTTAAAAGATAACTACTGTGAGATATTGTAATACTGCATGATAATTTGAGAAAATTTAAGCATTTTGTTGTGATAATAATAAATTTTTGTTCATTTTTCATCGGACTTGTGCATTCATTTCATAACGAACCCGTACGCACGCAACAATATATAGCAGGAATGAGTTCTACGGCAAAAAATTGCTTCAGACGAAACTGTGAGGCTAGAGGAAAAGGGGTCTTTAGGCACATATAGCACCTTTTTATTAATTCTCTATCAAATGTTCCTAGATATATTTCGAAAAGGCCATAAACATTCCTGAAGAACAATCCCCAGGAAACAATAAGTGCCATCAGCTTATAGAGACATTAGGTTAATTGGAAAAGCCAGAGAGATGAAAAATTAACAACGCCTTCGCCGGGAATCGAACCGCGGACCTCTGGAATACCGGGCCCGGCGTGCAGAACCACTACACCACGAAGGCACGCTAAGAAGGCGGGAGAAATACCTTATATACTCCCCCCTTTTAAAGGACGTCTGGGGTTTTTAGGAAACCAAATCGCCAAATCCTGGGTGTGGAGAGTCATCATCCACAACCCTTTTAGTTCGAGCGCCACTGAAAAGACATTAGGTACATTTTTAGAAGAAGGAAAGAGGAAAAATAACAACCGCCTTCGCCGGGAATCGAACCACAGACCTCTGCAATACCGGCCCAGCATGCAAAACTACTACACCACGAAGGCACGCTAGGAAAGCGGGAGAAATACCTTATATACTCCCCTTTTTAAAGGGCGACTGGGGTTTTCAGGGGACCCAATCACCAAATCCTGGGTGTGGAGAAACCTCATCCAACACCCTTTTAATTCGGGCGCCACTGTAGAGACACTAAGTATTTTTGAAAGCAGGCAAGATGAAACGTGAGCAAACGCCTTCGCCGGGAATCGAACCACAGGCCTCTGGAATACCGGCCCAGTATGCAGAACCACTAATACGTAACTTTGTTACCACTTATACGTAATTTAGCATTTCAAATGCCTTGAATAAAAAGATAAACTATATAAAATAAGCAAATGAAATGAGAGTAAATAACTAAAGCATGTTATCATTTGTGAATGCTATAATTGAAGCTGATTTAAAAGCAATCCTTATATTAATGACAACAGAAAATAAGAAAGCGAAAAATTTTGATAACAATTACATAAATAAACATCACATTATATTATAACTAAACAATTTTTATTTTAGTTGTTTTCCATGTATTTATACATAGTTATCTAAATATTGTTTGACATAATGATAAAAAAAGAACTTAATACATAATGATAAAAAAAGAAGTTAATGTTCTACACCCTGCGATGAAAATTTTTTATTCAATTCATTATCTTCGAAACAAAACATCTGTTTCGGTCAAAGAATAAGCCTAAGCACAAGCAAAAGAAATCTTAAACATCGAAATGGGTTGAAAAACTACAAAAAATTAAGATATCAAAACGTGCAAAATAGAGCTGAAACAAACACGAAGCCCAGTAACATACGCCGTTCGTTTAATACGCAGAAAATAAAAAATAAAATAAAATAAAACAGACAGAAAAAAAAGAGAGAGAGAGAATGAAATTCTGCTAAGGGTAGAACATTTCTTATTTTACTTGACTGCACGCAAGCTTCTAAGGTTCCACGCGAATCCGCCAGATGGCGGGGTTTCACGTTACGTCCTTCATTCTTTCTCTTCACTAGTCTTTAAATTTTACGGCAGTTCGAGGATATTTGATAAATACGTGGAGGTGGGTGTGTTCAAGAACTTTATGGATGGGTTAGAGAGTTATTTAGAAAAGGTAGGGTGGAACAAAATAAAAAAAATAATGAATTTTACCGGCTTTGGTAGATGGCTTGATTGCATGTGGTGGTAGTTCTTGAGAATCATAACAAGGCGCTAGGAAATGTTCGAATTTCTCTGTTTCGAACGCGATATTTAAGGCCGTGAATACTCTAGAAAAATAAAGTTGAAAATTTTCGTGATTGTTTGCTCCGAAAAGTTCATATTTTTAAAACTGAACAATATCTATTTTATGGGATACCTATAACATATTCTGTGTAACACATTAATATTATAACTTTATATGTGTTTTTGTAAGAAATGTTACAATATTATTTAATTCTGTGTTTATCACTTGATCATTTTTTGTGATTTTAGGTAAGTTATGTGTTAATAATGTTTATTTTTCTTTGTTAAATGCCGTTTGAAACCTAAAATTACTGAATAAACAACAGAAAATGCTCAGTTTTTGAAAAGATTTTCATTATGGTTAAACTAACTATTTACTTTATTGCTCATTAAGTTATTAATTGCGCTTTACAACGTGACTTCAGAATGCACTGTATTTAGAATTTACGTTAATTTTCTAAATATTACTCAGAAAGTAACAATATCATTTGTAATAACAGGTTTGCACATGAAATGAGAAATCAGCAAAGAGGTGTATCTTTCAAGGTCTGGTGTTTTGCTTTCAAAGGTAAACATATACTCAAATATTTACTTAAAACCTTTGAACTTATTAATGTAAAACCAGATCAGATGATAGGGTGCTTAATAAGGGTGATCGAATCCTACAATATTTAGTCCGAGTTTGAATCCCAACGAAGGAATCAACGGCCTTATGATTTGTGAAAGGTCTTATGAATCTGTGAACAGTCTTATGCGAATGGTCTTATGTGAACGATCTGCAGGTTTCTGGATTGAAAGAGAAACCTGAAACTTGATTGTTTTCCGATCTGTTTAATTCTGGGCTTATCATGAGCAAGGTTGTTGATGTGATATTTCATAGAATTCTGCCTCCTACTCTGACCGTTTCAGAAACTGGTCGTTTCTTGCTACTTAGCGATTAGCAGAAACTCTGTGCGCTGAAACATTATATAAATTTCTGGAAAGGTATGAAGTAGCATAAAAATACATTCAGGTAAATGAATCTTTTAAGAAGAAATTTATGATGTAAAGTTGAATTCGTAGTTATCTTCTCTACAGCTTCAAATTCAATTTCAGTACTCCTCAACTGCGTTAATACCGCGATATATAACTTGATTAAAAAGAATTAAAGGCGGAGATAGTATGCATAATGTAAGTGTAATAGAAAGGAATTCAGCGCAAGACTATTGGTTTATGCTTTCTGACGGCTGTATTAGCCTCTAAAATTGTCAATCTATGATCGAATTTTTTTCTTTTTCAAGGAAATGATCAGTTCTGGATCACAGTAGATCTTGCGGGTATGTATTATCACTATAATCAACAAATGCAAATGAATTAAGTTTAGGACCACAGTAAAAATGTGGTTATGAAAAATATTCGTCAGCCTTTTATAGCCCGGTGAGCATAATTCAAAAGTGCATATCAGTTTCGCTACTAAGGGAGGGGTTTCAAAAATGGGCCAATGAGCTTCTATTGGTCTTGTGACGATGAATTTTAGAAACTGCGCATGTGAGCGCGTGTTGTTGCTTATGTTTTATATTGCACTTTTCCAGAAAAAATGCCAGTACTTGCTTTCAGTCAGCAGAATTTCATCGGAATGAAATCTCCGCTTATCTGCTGTGTTAAGCCAACACCATTTTCTCGCTAAATATCATCATCACAATGGATGGAGAAAGAGACTTATACGTTCATTCTTCCGCGTGCAAGTTAACACGAAGCCCACGTGAGTTTGGATATGACTGTGCTATTTCTATAACGGCTATTCAAGCTTTCTATTCAAGTTAATGCTCTTGATCGACTGCGATCGTACTGCCCGTTGTTGCAAAATGCCAATTGAAGCTCTAATGAGGTAGTAATAATGGGACATCGGATTTAAGTCCAGTCTACGTAGAAGCCATTCAAAAAAAAAGGGGGGAGGACTACTGGGAAGAACCATTCCATTATAGCTACTCGAACTTCGCTGCTTAACTGAAATTTGAATCTTTAAAAAACTTTTCCAAAGCCTAAAGCCATGTCAGTACATGTCAAAAGATCTGAACATAATCCGAAACAATCCATTCTTTTCCTAATATTAATTGGCAACGTGCTGGTTGACATTATTTTGAAACGGTGCTATACCATGGCTTGACATGTTTGGGCATTTATTTATTACGGATATTCGGAATCTTGTTAAGATATCGCACAACTTCTCGAGCTCAGTGATAGCACCTTGCAGCAGAAACTTGATGTTCAATAAGTCCTTGAAATTAAGAAAAAAAAATTCAAGCTTATCTTGGCAATACTTGTGGCTGCAGGTGCTGTTTGCGTTGATGATGTTGCAGGTTTACAATGCATTTTACAGGAGATTCGTAACCGTTTATTTTCGTTTGTGACAAAATCTGTTGCTTTAGATTCCTGCAACTATAGTCTATGCCTATTGTCGCAAAACACTGTAAGTAGAACTATGCCGATAGTTGTAAAAAGCTATAAGTAGAACTATGCCTATAAGTGGCGAAAAATATATTTCGATGATACACGCTTATGATATTTCTTTTGGCGTCAGATGGTTCGAAACCAACAGAGCACACATTTTTTAAGTTGTTCAGAAACTGTTTAATGGTGTTTACGAAACGGGCAATACTAAAGTGGCTTTGTTATTCAAAACAATACTTGACTGAATACTTCTATCATAGTTGGTCTTTACCCAGACGCCTGCTATGCCGTTTTAATCTGTTACATTAAAAAACGAGCTTCAAGATCACTTTTCTCATTTACCTCATAACCATAGTAAACATGACGCTTGAAGGTCGGAAGATAATAGAGTCCCCTAATTAGCTAAAATCCCATAATTCTCACTATGCGGTAATGGTGACACACAGAGATTCCCAAACTGTGCGCCGCGGTGCTCCGAGGAGCTTGTAAAAGCTTCATAATTAATTGAACTAAGACATTTAGCCTCATAAAAAGTGAGAATCTGCAAATATCTAGATATTTTGAATGGTTTGTTTTTACTACTTGGCACTATATAAAAGGGAAATCGCCAATGCAAAATATTCTTGGGAACGCGAGCTGGCAACGCCACACCTTCTCGATCGCACGATATAATCTTGATATATCTCAGGATAGTCTAATCTGAGAACACGTACAAGGCTAGAACAACCTTTTCACGGCTTATTCCGCAAAAGAAATGGTGAAATTTCCTTCGTATTGTTGCTAACGTTAGGTTATCATGTCGTTTGTTTCGGGCTTGCGTGTACCGAATTTCAGAGGCCAATTTTTTTTTCCGGAGTCAAAAACCCACCATTTTCTTTCAGGTCTCTGAAAGAAAAAAAATTTCTTTCATGCGAATTATGTTTGTCATAGAAACGCCATATAGCCCCTGTATGGCCATGTAAACTCCCGGTGCAGCCTCACGGGGCTCCAGCGAGTTGTTTCTTCGAGATAGTGGAGGACGTGGGACATATGCCTGTTTACCTATGTTATACGCCAGGCAACCCCGTCCTCCGTCACCTATCACCTGTCATAGAAACGCCAGTCAAATCAACAGCAAAAGTAACAATTTAGTTACTGAATTTATTAGAAAAATGCTGCCAAAATTTTACAAAAGCATTCATAACGATAATCTTAGCGGAACTGCGTAGGGTTTTTCCAGGTTCTTATAAGGTTTTCAAATTATGCACATATGTAAAAGATGAAGTAGAGGCCGTAATAATAGTTTTCTTTTCCTCCCGCCAAGTGAATGAGTGAATGCTTTATTTGCTTTTCTCATCGAGGGGTGAGGTTGGGATTGCTGGAATTTGCAGTTTCGCCAATAATGCCAACAAAGGAGATGTCATTATATTAGTCATTTGATGATTAACATGATATTAACAAATTTTTAAATGAAAAGCTGGATTTAACATAATCTATCTATTTTTCATTTCTTTCTCTTTGCTCAACAAAATTTATCTTTCACAACATAATTTTTATAATACGACATCTCAAAGTAGTAGAATTATATTCTACGGCTCACGCACACACTTTCTACTATATTCAATGTTCTCAACATATATTGATTGTTGATCTAGACACATCGAGGTGCTTAGACCCTTTGTGATACATTTGGCCTGTTCTGGAAAATCTTGCGGAGAGCATATAAGCAAACGTTGCCGGCTAGATTCAGCCAGTCGGTTTATGAGCTAAGTCTAGTAAAATTAAACTCAGCGCTTTATGCAAATAAACGGTTATATAAATTAGTTCATGCATAGTTAGTGTTATATAACTTCTTGTTTGTTGTCTTTGATAAATAGTATTCTGATTTTTTTTTTTTTTTTTTGCTTTTGTATGTTTGATGATAGGCTGATTTTGGAACAGTAACAAGCATAACAGTGCAGATAAAGATACCAACCAGTGGCTTGATTATGAAGAAACGAAAATATCCTAAATATGATGACGGTTTTTAGAGTTTGGTTTTACATCAACAAAACCATTTGGAGTCAAAAGAAATGAATGTTGAAGAGAGACCACAATGTGTATTGTGTATTAAAGATTTGACTGCCTAGTGTATGCTTCCAAGGAAACTGAAGTGCCATTTAAAAGCTAATCACCGCAGCATAGTTGGCAAATCTTGAGGACATTTTGTCAGGAACTTAAAAAAACTGAAACAACATTTTTTAAAAAAATTGCATGAATGCATCAATACCAAACAACGTTTTTATAGCATCTTACAAGGTGACTTACAGATTAGAGAAATGTAAGAAACCTCATAGCGTCGCAGACGAACATATTCTATCAGCTGCTGTAGAACATCATGGTCTACATGAGTTTGCTGAGAAGTTGCTTTTAAAAATGACTTTATCCAATAACACAATTATTCGGAGAATACAACGTAGGGCGGAGGATATCAACCGATCAATTAATTGAAAAAATTAAAGGAGTGAACTTTGGATTACAACTAGATGGGATTACAGATGATAATATGGATGCTTATTTGATAAGCTATGTACGGTTTATAGATGGTAATAATATTAAAGACCTTCTGTTTTGTAAACATATTACTGGAGCAAAGGATCAGAACCTGTTCGAGATTTTTGATACATTCATATCTAAATTTGAATTGGCACAAGTGCGTTGGTGTCAGTAGTCATGGAGTTCGCTCCATGTTTGCCTGCTATGAAGGATTATAGCCACTTATTCGAAGTAAATCTCTAAATGCACCGTGGCCGCATTGCATTATTCACAGAGATACACTTGCTTCAAATCTGGGTCCTGCATTGAATCAGGTAGAATGGCCAAAAAATGGCATAAATTTTATAAATCCTCATAGATTGAAAGCAAGGTTTTTTTAAAAAGTTGTGTGAGAATAAAGATGAATCGAACGCTCATCTTTCTTGCACTGTAGTCAAAATCTTCTTGCACGTAATATTATTTTCTTGCACGAAAATTTCTTGCACGTAATATTATTTTATCACGTACCTTTGAATTGAGGCAAGAATATTTTATTTTCATTAAACAGGAAGGATACAAAGATACAGAAGATTTTGCTGACGCCGATGTTTTAATAAAACTGGCATATTCATGCAATATTTCTGAAAAGTTGAATTCTCGTAATTTCTCTCTCTCTCTACAGGGAATAAACATACGTACATCTTTTGAAGTCAACAGGAAAAATATCAGCTTTAATAAAAAGTACTCATACTATGGAGAAGAAAATTGAATGATAATATAGACAAATATTAATTTTTAATATTTCAGCAAATCTTGACGTCAAATGAACTTGATCTTTCTCAAGATATAAAAACCATGTTTGAAAGGGCCCTTATCACAACTAATTATCTGGTTCGATAAATTCTTTGAGAAATTGAGTGAAAGTTTGTTTGGATTCAAGATCCATTTAACACTAGCTCCGTCTAAATTTACTTTTGAGAAAGAAAATTTTATCGAGTTGTTTTGTGACAACAGTCTGAAAGCAAAATTTGACAGCATTGAATTGACAGAATTTGGGTTTCAATACAAGACGAATATCCCCTTCTAAGTGAATAATATCAGCGTATTTTAGATCCATTTTCAGCATCGTATTTGTGCGAATTTTTGGTTTTTGCAGTCGCTGTAATAAAAAGCAAGTATAGAGCAAAAATTAACCCTTTCCACTCCTTAATGTCGTTTTTTTTATTAACCAACAACTCTTTAATTCGTTTTATAAATTTATATATTTTACCAATTTTTGTTTACCTTAATTATTTAAAGTATGATATTTTTTAAAACATTCTCCTGGATAAAGACCGGGTTTCCTATCACAAGTATCACAATAGAATGTTGTTTCTTTTCTCCCTCCTTTGACCTTCCGTTTGGATTATAACATACAGTCCTTGTGTTTTTTATGAGAAAAAATAAAATGAGTCTTCCCATCTAAATATTGGATAGTATCATCTGTGGACAATCGGCCGGCTTTATTGTGTAGGAGGAAGTCTTTGATTAGACTCATCAATAAATTTTCTCGAAATTTTGTGTGACATCTTTTTTATATTTTCCTTCGTAGCATATTCATTGAATAAAATTTATAAGTTCACAATGGAAGTTTCTAAACCCAGGAAAATAACTTTCGCCGCAATTTCAAAGTCTTCCTCATAAAACAATAGTATATAGTATGTAGCGTACTGGTCGGTAGGTCCACCACATTTTTATTATAATCTAATATCGTAGTTGGTTTGTTTATTTTTTTCACTATCATTTTCAGTTGTCTTTGATCTTTTTTCTGAGAAGCTGAGAAACAGAAGATTGTTTTGTACTAAACATTTTGACCACGCTTTTGTCACGCCATGTTACTAACTTCTTTCCTTTTCTATAAAGCGATTTTATGTCCAACAGCTAATTTTTTTTTTTTTTAATTTGTTCTGGCAATCCTTTTCGATTGGTCGTAATTGTTCCAGTAAGAACGCAACTGGGTTTTAGGGATTAGTATAAAATCTGTCAATAAAAATATGATACTCTTTACCTTTAGAAATCGGATTTAGTAAATTTCGAAAGAGTTACATCACAAGTTTGCTAGTGAAATTAAGATCTGGTCTAATTAAGCCATCTGTTGTAATTTTACCATAATATGGAACAAATGTATATAAATAACTTGTCTTAAAATCTGCTAAAACATAAACTCGAAGTCCCCATTTTGTTGGTTTTTTAGGTTAGACATGAGAAAGTTTTTTTTTTGCCCCTTGAACGAGATTGTAGTTTCGTCAATTGCCAAATTTTCGCGAGGTATATAATTTTTCATAAATTTTTGGTTTGGGTAATCCAGAAAGTTGCTCACTCTTTCTGTCCTTCTCCCCGTCTTTTGAGTGTTTGGTCTTCCAAATTTCTTCTTCTTCTTACAATAACTTCTTCAGAATTGGTCTCGGTTCTAAAAGGAACCGAAAACAATAGCTCAGATGCTTTTGTAAAATTTATATCATCTTTCAATAATTCAAGGTTCTTTATCTACTTGAGTCATACATTCGTCATCACTACTTTCATATTCATTGGTTAATCATTGTTTTCTTTCGAAAAAAATCGTAAAAAATGAGGAACGATAAAGTTTTCGAGGAAAACAATTTAGCAAACAGAATAGTCTTTTTAATGTGGAACTAAAACAGTCTCGTGACTAAAAATGAGACTCTAATGCTTATTTTATGTTTTAATTTTTAAAAGTTTGAAAGGAAAGTTGTAAGGTACAAATGAGAGGAATACGACCCGATCCACCTTATGATCTTTTTTAAAGATCAGTAACAGGATCAATAATACTAATATTCTAAAAATAATCCTCATAGTCTTTTTTAAAGCCTTTTTTAAGACCAGATGGATCGTATCGTATTCCTCTCATTTGTACCTTATAACTTTTCTTTCAAATTTTAAATTTATAAGGCATTTTCTCCCTTCTTCAAGCATGCCTTCGTGGTGTAACGGTTAACACACTCGGCACGTATTTAAGAGGTGCATCTACTCTACTCCCGGCATTGCACATTTTTCACGTCTTTAAAAAATATCTAATGACTCTACAGTGGCGCCCGAGCTAAAAGATGGTGGATGATGACTCTTCATCACCAGGATTTGGCGTTTGGGTCCCCTAATCCCAAGGAGCCCTTTAAAAGGGTAAGGTATTGTTACGAAATGTCCAGCCGTGGTAAGATGGCTTCCCCGCAAAGCAGTTTTAGGGTTGTCATAAAATGGCAAGGGAAAGCAGGGTTGCCACATTTGGCGAGCAATCGCCCATTTGGTGACAAAATCGGCGATAGCCATTAACGGATGGAGAACCTTCTGAAACGAATTCTGACCGGTTTAGCCCAAAATGTTCTCGAACACAAGCCAAAAGCTATACACTGCTGTACGGGGAGTGAGTTAGTCAGTCCGTTCGGAGTCCATCGAGTTGATAGTTAGTCAGTGAGTGCCTATTGCCGAATTGGTCGTCGAGTGCACCGAAAGAGTCTTTTAATGTATTGCGGTTAGTGCATCGTTGAGAGAGTGTGTTGAGCTCCGGGAACGACTGAACCGAGGAGTCGGGAGCTGTACTCTAGTGTATCGTTGAATGCATCGCGAGTTGTAGCGTGGAGAGTCTCGAAAGTAGGTGGAGTTCCGAGAACGACCGACCAGAGCCAGGAGCTATACCCTCGTGCTTTGCAATGAAGCTGTCTTCACCGTTATAGCCTGATAACCTGGAGGCTGTGTCGCTGATTGTGTCAGCGTGTCTAAATTCTTCGACGACTGTAAACATGATTTTAGAGCTGTCCTGATTAATATTGATAAATAAAGTGTGTTTCGATACTTCATCGAGTGCTATCGTCGTTATTCATTCCAAATCCGCACGAACCCTGTACGTTCGTAATGTAAGTGAAAGAAGAAAATAACGTAATATCTGGTGTCAGAAGTGGGATTTGCGAGTGAATGCCAGTGACCCGCCTGCAGAGGAAACAAAGACTTTGATGGACTTCTTAGCCGAGATGAGGGCTGAGATGAAAGCCGGACTAGAAGAGAAGAAACCCCGGCGAGAAGAAATAAATGTCGACGAAAAAAAAGTCAACAGCAACTCCAACAGATGAAAGTGGAGCTTACAGAAGAAACTGGAGCTATAAAAGACGATGTGGAAATGAGAGAAATGGCTTCTGAAGAATCAAAGGTTGAAGAAATGAACTGTCTGAGGAAGATCAAGAAATGAAGGACAAAACATCTAACGGAGTTAAAGAAAAAGAACGAAAACATGAAGAAATAAAAGGCGGGGGAAAAAGCGTTTAATTCTCAAGTGCCTGAAGTGGAAGTGAAGAAAGTGAAAATGCAACTGTTAAATTGGTAGAAACTAATAGTGAAATTAAAAAGTCGCAGGCAGGAAGTGTATGTGATGCAGAGAAGCTGATGTACAGCTTAAACAGTGTGCTCCAGTATTGCAAGAATATTCATCCACTTCACAAACTACACTGGTGTGCAAAAAAATAAGGACGAGACGGTTTTTTCAATATAACTTTGTACAAAAGCTTTCAAATCAACACATTTAATACCGTAAGATCCCCAATACGTAAGAACATGAGTAATGTAAGCAACACTTACTAAAAGAGAAATCAGAGGGATAAAAAGAAGCTTTATTGAAAAAGTAGCATGGAGCGCAATGCGACTGAAGGCCGAAACATCCCTGTGATGGGTGTCCAGCAAGAAACATCCGGTCTTTAATAGGGGATATGATCTCCCCTGACTGCTAGGCAGGTTTCACAGCGTCTGCCCATGCTGAGAATGAGGGTGTCAATGAGTTGTTGAGGCATTGCTGCCCATTCGTCTTGTAGCGCCAATCGAAGCTCCGGAATCGTTACTGGTGGTAAGGTACGAGCTGCCAAGCGTTTGCCTAGAAAATCCCATACATGCTGGATGGGATTGAGATCCGGAGATCGTGCCGGCTAATCCATACGTTCAATATCCTCACTCTCTAAGAGCTGTTCGGCAGCTACTGTGCGATGACATGGTGCATTGTCGTCCATGAAAAGGAACTGCGGACCCATAGCGCCTCTAAAACGACGCACATATGGAAGAAGAATCTCGTTACAATAACGGGTCCCGTTGACTGAACTTGCGTCGAAGATGTGAAGGTCTGTACGACTACCAAGCATGATGCCTCCCCAAACGAGAACACCGCCACCTCCATACCTGTCCCTTTCAATGATGTTCGAGGGATGATTGCGGCTTCCCCGCTCTCTCCAGATGAGTATGCGATGAGAATCGCTGCTCAGACTGAATCTGCTCTCATCTGTAAAGAGTACTCGTCCCCATTCATTGTCTCTTCAATTCTGGTGTCCCGGTACCACAAAGAACGCCTTCTCCGATGGGCAGGCGTTAGAGGTACACACCGTACAGGGCGTCGTGCAAACCGACCACCACCGTGCAGTCTTCTGGCCACGGTAAAACGCGATATCGGTCGTCCAGTCGCCTGTGTCGTGTGTCTAGCGATTTCTCCCGCTGTCTGCCGCCTGTTTCTTCTGGCCCGTAAGGCAATATACCGGTCATCTGCTGGTGTGATTCCTCATGGACGACCACTACTAAACCCCCGGATAGCTGTTCCTGTAGTTTGAAGTTGTCTTCAAAGTCGTGAAACGATGCTGTGCGCAATTCCGAACTCTGCAGCCACACTTGTCACACTGCGGCCTTCCTCCAACTTCCCAATGATTTGACCTCGGGTAAAAGCATCCAGATGTCGTCTAACAGATTGATTATTCGCCATTTCTCGCTGAGGCAGCAACTCAGTGTGATTTTAACTGCTATACGGCGTGCAATCTCCTTGCCAGAAATACTGATTTTACACCGACGACATGCTTTATGCTACTCAGACACTCCCCCATTACGTCTACCTGCATATCTGCGCATGTGCTACCGTACATCACCTTACTTAATCTCCTGATTGGGTCTTTCTATCCGCTCTGCCTTTTCGTTCAGCTGATATGCTAATTTTTCGACTTCGTCCTTAATTTTTGCACACCAGTGTATGTATGTGCCTCATAGTACAGGTTGTGCAGACAAGAACTTGATTCTGAAACTGGATACCTTCTGCTTGTAAAGTATCGGATTCTATTCACGACCCTGGTGCGAACATCGGAACTGGCTTTCAGGAAATAGAAGTAAATGAGTATGTACCAGCAGCGAAATATATCGAGGTGAAGTGTATACATGCTGCGAGTAAACTACAGAGTGGTGAACAAACTGTTTTATATCTTCTAGTGGATGAAAAGTCTGAAAGGACTGAATCTACAGACTGTGATATGCAAAACAGAAATGTGTCTGAGAACTGCAGTGGAAACGTATTTGACCCGGGTATAACTAAATGAAAAGACTGAGACTAAAATTCATTCTGAACTTTAATTTGCATAATTTAAAATTGTTATGTGTTTAATTTGTGTATATATCTTGTACATTGTGTAAATATTTGTTTCCTTAGTTATGTTATTACCTTTTGTTTGCATCGAATTATGCTTCTGACCAAGGGTT